ACATATTCTTGGGCATCAACCTTCAATTTAAGCTTTTGTTGAGATGGTCTGTTAATAGAATTTTTTGCCTATTAATATATATCTTTAGTTTTCAATAAGTGTAAACTATAACAATTAAGAATATTCTTTAAGACCATTCTTAAAAGTATTCACAAAACTATATTCTTTATTATTATGTATAAATCACTAACAATGGTCATGTGACCCGGGATAACAGCGTAAAAACCTAAGTCCAAATGGTCAAATGGAGCACTTAAAGATTAATTGAGGGAGTAGAAAAGAAATTGATAGAGTTAATGCTATAGATGATTTATTGAGATCATCATTACAATAGCTAAATTAATATTGTTGACATTTAATTTTATATTCCCTCTTATAATACAGTGTTTAATTATGTGGTCAAGCATTAAAACCAAAAATTCTCATTAATACATCAAAAAAAATAAGATATTGCTTGTTGAAAAAAAAAATAAAAAAAAAAAAAAACGAGATATTGTTGAATGCATCTCATTGTATAGTTTTATAATATTAACTTTTTATAATGTTTGTTAACATATAACTAAAGATATCAAGGTCAAATATACATCATAAGGTTTAAAAATGAATTTGGCAATGTATTACAAGATATAGGAGTCATTAGTTATTGAATAAGCTTAAAATTATTCATGAATAATATGAGAAGTCAAATATCACAAGCATTGAGAAAGAAAGGTTATAATTAAAAGAAAATTGAAAAGTGATATTCCCACGTAAACACGTTACTATGTTACTGTTTAATAATCGCTATTACGGAGTATTTAATCCCTCAGTCCTTAATTCTTTGGCCCCAAGCCCATCTTTTAATTTACCTTGTAATTTTTTTAATTGAATTAAGTTATTAACATATAAGATGGTGAGGTTAAAAGTATTTTTTTAGTGAAAATTAAATATTATTCACATAATTAAATATCAAAATGATAGACACATACCATTATTTAGAGACGATATCAAATACGAATATCATAAATAATTAAAGATAGAGGGAGTATATCCTTAACTTCTAGACGTCTAGTGTTTCCCAAAAGTTTAAAGACGCACAAAATTGACAATGCTACAATTGCACAAATTAAAAGATGAAAGTTTGTCTGCAAAACCCCGTAAAAGGTAGCAATTCAAGATCCCTAAACAAAACAAAATGGACATATTTTTCACTCCACTATCTTCCTCCACGAGTGGATGATAAAATCCAATGATGTGGCATAATTTAACTCAAACAATATTGTATCAAGGTCAAGTCAAAAGTTAAAGGAAAGTTAAACTATTATTCCCTCCTTTACCTAATATTTTATTTTATTTTTTCCCTTTATAAAAGTCACTTCTTAAACGTTGATTTCACATTTCACAAAGTGTTTGATTGTTAAATGTTATTTTTTTTTTGTTTCGCTTTCCGTTTTGATTTTGTATTGTTTAAATTATTTCCCCCCTTCATGCTTGTCAAGTTGTCAATGTATTGTTTAAATTAGAGTAAATGTGGTTTGAAAAAAAAAAATTTAAAAAAAATTAGTTACATTTGACAAAATTTGTGTTTTATAGGGTGATTCCAAAATTTTCTTAAATTAAATTCTCAAGACTAAAAGAGGAAAGTGAAATGGGTCTTAATAGATGTATAAGTAACAAAAAAAATAAAAATCGGCTCATTTCGTAAAAATGAACATATAGGATACCAAATTTTTGTAATTTGTAAGAAATAAAAAGTTTTATAATAAAAATTGTATATTGGCAGATCTTTGACCGACGAAATTTACTATCAATAAGTATAAATCAAAATATGATGAAATTTAGAAACTATACGTTAAGAGGATTTTAACGAGAAACCACTTGATTATGTTTGATCTTATATATATGGAGTATAAAGCAAAAACATTGATTGAAGTGATATATGTAAATAATAATAAAATAAAATAAAAAAGTCAAATTTGGACAGTTAAAAGCAAGTAGGGTACTTGCTCACATATTATCTATGAGGTCAAATTTATACAACTTTAAGTGTTTAATACTGCATATATATTAAACAAAAATTGTGAGGCAAGATCTTATAGGTATCATTTCAATGTGTGGTATCCAAATTTTCCATATCGAATTTTCATAAATTACAATAGTTTGCAATTAAAGATATGTCAAACTTGTATGTATTGGAGATCTTGCAAAATGCAAGTAAATAGAACGAATATGACTAGTGAAGAGAGTGAAGACGAACCTAATAACATTCCACATAACTACCTTTTTCTTTTTATAAATCATTTTAGGTAAATAAATTAGCATATATTTAATAATTTTAAAGTTAAAGTATTGCAAGTTATAAAGTCGAAAAAAGTATTTGATTAGGTAATAAAGTTGACGAAAAAGTAAAAAGACCGAGAGATAAACCTAAATATTAATTTTTAGGGATGAAAAAAAAAAGAAAAGAAAGAATGGTAGATGAAACACAACATATACTTCCTCCGTCCATGTACTATTGCACGCAGCAACAAAAACTTTTGTATACATCTGGTTTACACTAATATTAGTGTACATCGAGCAGTATAAGGGTAACTTTTAGCTAATTTTAGGGTAACTTTTTTGCCTGTTTTTGGGTAACTTTAAACATAATACAATTTTTAAATAAATAGACAACAAGAAAAGTTTTATAAAGGTAATTTAATTACATTCAATCACTAATAATTTATTTTTAGTCATTTAAAATGTGATTCTTTACTAATAAAGTGTAGATAATTTTTATTTGAATTGGGTTACTTTTATGCATATTGGGGTAACTTTTATTCATTTCAGAGGTACCTTTTAATCACTTTTAGCTATCTTTGTAATGGATGTACAATAATTATTGTACACCGGATTTTTTTAAAAGTTTATTGGCAATTACCATTTTAAAATGTTTTATAAATAATGCAACATTAATATATGTATACTTTCGGTCTATCTCTCTCCCCATCACATGAGTCCATATCTTTATTTCTCTATCTCTCTCCTCATCTTAAATTTTGTGTATTCTCCCCTTGTTGCAATATTAGGGGAGCAAAGGAAGTATGTAAGATAAAGATGAAAAAAATGGAGTATATAAGAAGTGTAGGATATAGTCTTGAAGAAATCTATATATCTTGTTTTTTTTTTTTGACAAGATATATCCTGTTTTTTAATATTAGGGGAGTAGAGGAAGTATATAAAATAAAGATGAAGGGATGGAGTATATAAGGAGTGTAGGATATAGTCTTGAAGAAATCTATATAGTTTTGTGTGTGGGGGGTTTAAATCTTTTACTCATATTTCCCTTAATTTGTCAACAGTGGGTTTTGTAGATATTGCAGACAAACTAAGGGAAAATCTCATGTGTTAGTTTTACATTTAAGAAGGAGACCCCAGGGTGCATAGATATAAAGAGTGGAAAAATGAGATCATGGAGAGCTTAAACGAGTTAAAGAGAGACAGAAAATGACTTAATTGCAAGGATTTATAAGGGATATGAAGCAAGTTGATTTGCATGAGAATGAGGTATTTAATCGTACGGGGATAGAGGCGGAAGATTTTTCTAAATGGCTGTACAGAATAATCATTTTTTGTTCATATAGTTGACCTCACTTATGGGATTTAGGCTTTGATTGATTGATTGAGTATTTTACTTTATCTGAAAAATGTATCAATGGTGAGGCTTGTTGAAGTTTTTTTACGAGAGAAAGATTATAATTTTTTGTAAAGGATACCAATTAGTTGGTATCTAAACTTAGATATCTATAAAGAAAGTTGCTTAGTTTAGATACTCAACTTTTAATCTCAATTGACAAAAATATTGACCCCTTATCAATTTCATAATAAATTTTTTTATTTATTTAATTTATAGTCACAACAATCTCTTGCAAAAAAGAAAAAAAAATGATATGTTTGATCATAATGGAAAGTAACATTAGTATACTTAATAGAGCCTCATCATTTGAAATTATATATCACAATTCACACGAGTTGCTAATTTAGGAAGTGGGTTATGTATCACCATTGACCAAGTGTGAAAACAACTCACTTTGTCAATAAATGTCCAGTCTCGCCATTATAGATCGTCTTACATGCTTTGATTTAGTCTACTATATGTAAAAACTTATTAAAAACTAGGTGAGGCCAAGTAACAAAGCTAGCTTGGTTCATTAAGTGGAAAGGTTTTTCATCTCACAATAATAAAATTGTGAGATCAAACATCACTAGTGGCATGTACATTGGAGTGGGAATTTCCCACTAGAGAATATATGAAAGTAATTGAGGACTAAAATATTAGTTATCCTATTGATGTATTAGTAAGATTATGGATAATCTTTAGGGTTATTATATGTGCAACTCAAATTTGATGATTAAGCTTATTATTGACAATATATGTTAAAACAAAATAACTTATTTCAAACAAAATCACATGTACTACCTCAATTTTCAAACGTTCTTAACATCTATATCTTATTTGAAAACAAGTAAGTGTAAGACAAAGGTAAATCATAATATGAGAGTGTAAAAAAAAAAGTACGATGGAAATGTTTAAGAAAAAAGTGAATAAAAAAGGTTAGTACGTGGTGATAAGGTGTAAATAATTTAGGGTAAGAGGGATAAAGTTGTAAAAGAAATTTGCCAAATTAGATTCAAGTGAAACTTTTAAGCCACTTTTAAAAAACATATAAAAAGAGAAAATGTTAAGAAATTTAAGAAAAGAAAAGTAGTATAGACAAAATAAGATATATTAAAAGAAATAAGCTTAGACATAAAATAAGTACTCGTACAATTAGCTTGGATAAAATAATTTCAAACAAAATAAGCTAAACTAAAATGAGCCTAATCATAATGAATGATCGATGTTTCTGAACTAATTAAGCTCACACCCAATATTATATGGAGTAGATCTACTTAAGCCCAATAGAGCCCAATTATAATGAATGACGACCAATGTTTCTATATATCTGGTATCATCCCTAATATATACGGATTCTAATTAAACTGTATATAGTCTAGTCTCAATAATTAATAAAAAAGACAGATTCATTTAAACTGTAAATAACTAATTAATGTTTTTAACAAGGTGTTCCCCCCCCCCCAATAATTCAGAGTATAAGAGTGAATTCAATTCAAATAAAGCCTAGTCATAATAACTAAATGACCAATATTTTTAAAACAAGTGTCACCCCCCAATAATATATGGATTTTAATTAAACTAATAGAGATTTGTCATAATGACTTAACAATGATATTATACCATATTTCACCCCCAAAATATATATATGAAACAGATAAGAACCAAACAGAGTCTAGTCATAATGAATTTACCTCTGTTTCTAAACTAGGTGTCATCCAATAATGTAAGGATTACATAAAAATCAAAAAGAGTTCAGGATCAATAAATTCACCAATATTTCTGAAACAGGTGTCACACCTAATGACATTGGATAGGATCTCATTCACACTATTAATAGGTAATTTAGGTAAAAATAATCTCAATTACATAGTAACATATCCTTATAATTGTGAAAGATAAACATAAAAATAATGAAGATATTTAATAAAAACTAGAGAAAAAAAAATAATAAAAAGGTAGTTTGGGTGTAGAATGTTGGTTTAGAGAGAATTGAAAGACAAAGACAGCCCTCACTTCTATATATTTGGCTGATCCCATGCGTCTTTGTAATACTCTCTTGGAATCTCTTGGGAAGTTCTCAATTTTCTGTCTCTTTTTTCCTTCATTCTCCCTCTAACTCTTTCTCTTTCTCTCTCTAACTTGCAAAAACACTTAAAAATATTATGTTTTCTTCTCATTATTGTCACTCCTACTCCACCCCTTCTCCTTCTCTTCTATGCCTTTCTCCCACCACTCCATCAACTCTACCACAACTCCCTAGTAAGTCATCATCATATATGTGTTTTCTTTTTTGTTTTGGATAAAAATAATTTGTTACTTCGTAAATAATCAAAACTAGTATATATATATATCATTTAATCAATTCATATGTGTAGTTCAGGTTGATAAAGCATCTATGTCTCCCGAGTTTTAGGAGAAACTCGTGATCTCTTATTGTTATTTCAAACTTGTCAAAGTTTGTCCTTACCAAAACTATACGATATGTATTGGTTTGATCATCACCATTGGTATTGTTGTTGTTGCATATATATTCACATGCATATATTATTACATGATAATAACATGTATATGTAAGAGTTTAGTCGTTGATAAGTTAAATAATTATCGAAATTTGATCCATTTGAATTTGGTTTGTTTTATATGCAGGTGTTTGGTCACTCAAGAAAAGAAACAACAATCACCAACTTGGTTGGGCACTCAATCTGAGATGTAATGCAATCTCCAAGCCTACCACCAAAGGTACATACACATGATCCTTTTTTTTTATATATTTTTTTTTTTTGGAGTTTGCATTTTCTTTAATGAAGGGACCATAAGCGAGGGGTTTCTCCGGATACATTTTTTTCTTTTGTTTTTCACCGTTTATTTTTATATTCTGATTTTCTCAGAATCGAAAGAGATTATAAAAAGAGTTATAAAGGACAATGATACCTTATTGGATTTCTGCAGATACATTTTTCTTAATTCACCGCTTACCCGACCTGCTACTAATTAATGGGAGAAATTAAAATCCACATTTTAAAAAATATTTTTTTTTTACCTTTTAATGTGTTTCGAAAGCTATTATTTATATGTGTATAGAACAATCAAATTTAGCGGTTATTTGGTTGCACATCTGGCCATTATTTAATTTTTCGATAAATTAATACTCCGTATATTATTAACGTTTTTTTGTTTAAGATATTAAGGATATATCTATAAATGCTTAGTTTACACGTCCCATATCCGGATAATCCTTCCACATTTTTTTAATGTCATTAATTCTAAATTATAAATGAACTTATATGTGTATATATTTATTATTTAATTAGATGAATTCAGACATGCATGAATGACAAGATTAAAAGTATCCACCAACAAATTACATTTTGCACCCGTGGATGTCTTTAAACTTTTGGATGAATTGATTTATTAAATCACATCTATTTCACTAATTTTTTTAATTAATTATGAAAAACTCTTCGAGGAAGAAATAGCTAGAAAATTTGAACAGTATTGCTGATTTATTATGTAGTTTTGACTCTTTTTAGTGAAGGAGACAAGATATAAAGAAGCTATTTTTTTTCATAAAAAAGAAACATAACTTTTAATGTGTGGGATTCTCATGTTTATTTTTGTTTTTAATAAAGTTTTAAGGATTATTAATAAGGACACATCTTTTTTTAATAATGGTTGAGTTGTCAACAGATTATCGAGAACTTCTTCAAGATGAACTTCCTTTGATACAGAGGGAGTTTGAGATTGTGGAGGATGACGTTGAAGGGCTAGCTATCGAGGTACAACTATTTTGACGTGTGTTTATTCTCATTTCATATAATTAGTCTCTCACAACTTCAATTCGATCCGATCCCATTTGGGTCAATAATCATATACCCTTTGAATTATGAGGGAATATTAACTGTTGGGAGTGAAAATAGATGATAATATGTTTCGAGAAAATACTCTATATTTTTAAATGCGACGAACACGAAAAAAAGTCAAAAGTTAATCATTTTTCTACCTTTTTTTTCCCATTATATTCCTCATTTGGTAAAATTAAGTTCAACAAAATAAATATCCGTTTGTCAAAAAAAAAAATAAAAAAAAAAATATCCGTTGTTCAAATTCATAAGTTGGTTTCCTTGCATGGATGCAATGTATGAATGTTATAAATTGTATTAAAGTGACAAAAACAATTTAAAGGTGATAAAAAAAAATCCTTTAAATTAAACAATAAAGGATATCAACGTATAAAAACAACAATTATGGAGAATGTAACTTAAAAAGGTGATTTAATATCATAGAGAGTTTCAAAAGATGATGTACAAGAGTCTTCATCAATATTTTGGACGAACAAAGAAAAAATATATTTATAGAATTTTAATTTTATTCTTTTTCTTAATGGTCATTTTAATGTCAAGAAAATCTAAAACATTTGATGTTTATAAAATTTTAAAATTATAATCTAAAGTGATTTTAAAAAACCCCTTTTTGGATAAATCCACTAACTTAGCATCATTGTCTTTTTGCGTCTTTCTTTAAAAGGGAACCACAATCGAAATAAATTCTAAAACCCTCTTTTGGATAAATCCGTCTACTCAATATCATTGTCGATTGAAAACTCAGTCGAAAGAAATTCTATAAATTTGTTTTTGGGATATGTCCAACAATTTTGCATTGCCTTTCTCTACATCTATGCTAAAATTATTGGGACTTTTAATGAGACGTATATATATTTATTGTGGGTTAAATGTCAATAATTATGAGTGACTTTCTGGGATAATAATTTGAGTTGGAATGCTTTGATAGCAAAATCTCTTTTTGAAAAAATAAAAATAAAAACTAGGTTCACGCATTTAAGCATCAAATAATTTATTTATTTTGCCAAAATTAAGTAGTATCAAATAATTCACAAGGGGAAAAGTATATTATGAATAGCTTAATCTTATACATCAGCTTTGATACATTGCTTTTGAAATAACTTGGATAATATATCAAGACACGATCTCTTAGAAATTAGTCGTATCAAATTAAAGTTTATATATCCTTAAAAAAAAATATTTTATTTAAAAGGTGAACCAAATAAAATCTATGCGCCCAATTAAGTATGAAGTAATTTATTTTTGGATTAATATTTATTGTTTATGGACAACATTTATTAAAGTTTACTCAAATATTTAAAATGTCATTGACTGTTTCTATTTCATGGTTAGTTTGTTATACCAACATTTTTTTGTTGACGAATAAATTATACCAACATTACCGCTATTATTTGATCTCTAATTACTTCCTCCGTTTTAATTTGATTCTCCAATTTTTTATTTTTATAGTCAAACTTTTAAAACTTTATGTAGTCATTTTTATGTATTCAAAAGTTTTTGTATTTTTTTTGGATCAGTAGTAAATTTTCAAAACAATTAATTTCAAAGCGGATTCGAAATGTAAGCCTCTATATTATGGTTATAGCTAATTAAATTAGATGAATACAAAACTACAAAAGATTCAATTTAATAATTAATAATCAATTGTTCCATACATATCTAATACCCAAATGTTAAAATTATAACTCTTTTTGTTTATAAGCATCAATTTTGCTCGTTAGAAATTGTTAGCCAAACCATTTTTCGGAGACCAAAAAAAAAAAAAAATTTATTGGTCCATAATTTTAATTATTTGAATTACTTAAATATTCAATTTACTACATGCACGCTGAGAAATATCCATTGAGAAGGGAATTACGTAGTATTTTGGTCACTCTCAATTAATTACGTTAAATATATTCTATGCTTGACTTATGTTCTTTGTCTTGTGGTAGATTACTCCACAAAAAGTAGGTAGATTACCGAGTAGATGACTGTACTAACATTCTAAAGAAAAAATGCACCAAAATTAACTTGCGAAACTGCAAAAGGTCCATAAAAATAGAAAGGAAAAATAAAATAAAAATAACTTGGAAGAATTATCGGTATAGATTGAAGTCGAAAATGATAATATTTTGTGTACATTTGTTATTTAATTTTTAATATAGAAAATCACAAGCAATAAAACAAAAGAATACAACAAATGAAGCTAATTAGACTATTACATGCTACCTTAAATGTTTTTTGTTGCCTATGAAAAGGGAGAGATAAGGCGAGGTCAATTTTTGTTTGTCGCCAATACGAACAAAGATAAAGAGATAATTTACTTATTTATGTAGATAACTCGCATACTTTAGTATTGTTTGTCTTTGTGTCTCTCTAAATATATGCGCATTTAATTTGTAAAGGGTATAGTTTGCATAACTTAAATACTACCTAACCTTATATGCTTAATCAGAGATGTTCGAACAACATACACATATAGCTATTCTTGTACATTTATAGACATATTCTTTTCATTTGTCACTCGCGATTTTAAACAAGGTTTAATATGTCTCAATTGAAACTACTATTCATGGAATAAGAACTTGTTCTTTTTTGTGTAAACATTAGGTACTCACATCAAGTGAAATTAAGGAAAATGTGGAAAGAATTAGGGAAATTTTGAAGTCTATGAACGATGGAGAAATAAGCATATCCCCATACGACACAGCTTGGGTAGCACTTGTAAAAAACAGCCATGGAAGTCCTCAATTTCCTTCGAGCCTTCAATGGATCATCGATAATCAGCTCTCGGATGGTTCATGGGGTGATGATACCTTATTTTCAGCTCATGATAGGATAATCAACACATTAGCTTGCTTAATTGCACTTAAGTCTTGGGAAGTTCATCCTGAGAAGTGCCAAAAAGGTACTAATTTTATTGCCACCATTATCGTTCATTCTATGGACAACATGTTTTAGGTGAGACGGATTTAAAGTAGTTCATGCTAGACGCAAAAAAAAGTTATCATTAAAGCATGTAAGGAGTAATTGTTCAAAATTTGACATTAGTGACATTACATGATTATCTCAATAAGACTACATAAATTTTAAGTTTGAGTATAATGATTTGAATGTCTTCGGTTGTTGATTAGAAAAAATATATATATATATTTGGAGACAATTATAATCGATTAATTGGGAGTACTTATATTGCATACAAAAGAAAAAGTACTCGTTGAAATACTTTAAATTCCGTAGTAGATACTAGCTTAGATGTCGAACTCCATCATATTTGTCGTGCAAAACTTTCAACTTTAATATGAATGGAAACCCTTTTATAGTAACCAAAGTTGTACATGTATGTTGTCTTACATGCTAATTGAGGTAAACACTTTTTATCCGACAAGCAAAAGTGTTTTAATTTAATTATATATTTACATATATTTATTTTTTGAAATTTAGGTAACAAAAGTAATTATAAGCTTAAAAAAGACCAAATTTGATATAATCAATTTTAGTTGGTAATTATAAATTTAAATTATAAATACACTTTCTAAGTGATTAAATGCAGAATTTATGAAAAAATTACTAGTGCATTACTGTTATTACTAATGTTTGGTTTAAATTATACGGAGTACGAGTTAAAAAATAATAATAATAATAATAATAATAATAATAATAATAATAATAATTGGCTTCTTATACTTTATCTATTCGGGTTGTGTGTACTATTTACCAAATAAATAATGATTGTATTTATAATTTTTTTTTTCTTGAATTAGGGATAACATTTCTGAAGGAAAATATAAGCAAGCTACAAGATGAAAATTTTGAGCACATGCCAATTGGATTCGAAGTTGCATTTCCATCCCTAATTGAGGTAGCTCAAAACTATGGAATTGAAGTGGCTCAAGACACTCCTGCAATGCAAGAAATTTATGCCAAAAGAAATTTGAAGCTCACAAGGTACTTGCAATTGATATAATTTCAAAATCTAGTCAAGCTCGTATTTTATTTTTGGAGATGGATATATAAAACTTAATAATCACATAATTAAGCATTATGATCGAGGTTTTACAACTATAACAAAATCTGATAGATTGAATGATTTTCCCATCTTTGAAATGAGTTAGAACAATCGGCAGATTGAAATTTATCAACTCCAAATGAACTACAAGTAGTATTATGTTTGTTTTTATTACTTTATTAATTATGGTAGAAGCTAATTAGTAAGATACATGTTAACAAATACTTATGAGTATATGAATGAATGAAGGAAAAGGTTAGCTTTAGCTTTTGGCAATAAGAAAAACCCTTTATTTTAAGAAAAACCCTTTATTTCATTTATAACACAGTAGTAAAGTTTAAGGCCCCAATATAACGCATGTGGTGTCATGTCCTCACATGTTTGCAATAATTGTGTAAAATCTTTGGTAGGATACCCAAAGAAATCATGCACAGAATGCCTACCACTTTGCTCCATAGCTTGGAAGGAATGGCAGGGCTAGATTGGGATAAACTTCTTAAATTGCAAAGCAAAGATGGTTCCTTCTTGTTCTCCCCTTCCTCAACTGCCTATGCTCTCATGCAAACCAAGGATCTTAATTGCTTCACCTACTTAAACAACATTGTTCGTCGCTTTAATGGTGGAGGTAATTAATTAACCTAATCGATCAATGATGCTTAATTAAAGTCATCTTGTCATCTTCTGACTCAATAATAGTATATATTGATCTTGTTATAGATCAGATCGACTATTGTCCGAATTTAGTTGTTACACTGTATTGTTACAAGTTACGTTATTGATTATATGTAGTTTTCAATCAAAGTGACAATTAATTTCAGACAAGAGTAAATCATATATAATTAGTGCATTAAACTCAACATAGTACTTATTGTTTACCTTGGCTAAAATAGGTTAATTTGTTTTCCACAGTTCCTAACGTGTACCCAATAGACTTGTTCGAGCATATTTGGGTTGTTGATCGATTGCAGCGGCTTGGAATTTCTCGGTATTTTCAACATGAGATTGACGAATGCATGAGCTATGTTAACAGGTTTGTTTCTCTTGTATTTTGCATATTTCTTAATTATCTGCATTTTTTTTCAAAATATAAAATTATATCTAAATGTTTTTGTTTTGTTTTATGTAGCCTAGACTACTTAACCAAATTTACACTTTAGTACCACCATTAGTATCTAACACTTTTTCATTGTACGGGAATTTAACAAGGTATCATAGCAAACTAGTACTTCATCTCCACTCAAAATTGTGATTGAATATAATAAGAGTTTGTGATAAAGTGCAATTCAACTATTATTTATTTTAAAAAAGAGCCTTTCTAAAAATGATTGATACAAAGGAGGGGTAAGAGAAATCCAACCATTACAAATGGCATATTTGATTTTGAAATTTAAATCCTTTTTATTAATATTCGCTAGTGACACTATATAATCATCCAACCATCTCATAATCAAGGGAAAAACGGGGAAAAAAGGGGGAAGGCTAGGGACGGATTACAAATTTAGTTAATGTGTTTTGAAATAGTTTAAATGATTAAATAGTTCTTTGATTGTGCAACGTAGAATATATAATGGTTTTCGTCAAAAAAAAATTATATAACGGTTGACTAGTTTAAATTGTGACACTTGAGTAAAATATGGTATAAATTATATGACGATTCATGTTGGGTCCTTGATCCCTCAATTTATTTAGACCAATCATATTTTCTATGTCAAGATAATAAAAATCACTATTCATAAATATCACAATTACTTTATTGATGTTGTATCATCTCACTGGCCTTATCTTGGCACATCAAAATTGTTGTTTAGTGGAGAAACTTTAAGCCTTGTTATTTTGGCCAAACACTTAATTTTGAACCCGAGTTAGGGCCTTCCTTCATCCTCTTTGTTACTTCATTTTCAATTCTATCCCATACATTCTCATTTAACCCCTTTTTTGTTTGTTTTATCAAACATTCAATCATATTTTCCATCTTTTTCAATAGCAATTATTTTGCTTGGATAATCTTTAGGATGTAGGAATCTAACTCTTTAGTATGTACGAAGTTATACTACTCAAACTGGTAAATTTTTTGGACGCTAGTGTCCTAGAAGGATAACCTTATTGTCGTTTGTAGCACCTTATTTACCCGTCTCTAAGAAAAGAAAAAACAAAACATGGTATTGCTTCATATTTAAAGCATGTTTTTCAATTTGTCCTTTTTTTTTTTTTTTATATATCGCACCTACTTTGTTTTATTCTATAATAGAAGACCATATCCTGCTTTGTTAATAACCTAGAGTGGGTTGACTTGTGAGAGGTTCCGGCTCAATTAGACCTTTTCCTTACTAAACAAATTATTATGATTTTCAAACACTCTATTACTCTATGTACCAATAATAAAACAAGCAAAATTTCAGGTATTGGACAGAGCATGGAATATGCTGGGCTAGAAATTCAAACGTCCAAGACATTGATGATACAGCTATGGGATTTAGGCTTCTTAGATTACATGGATATCAAGTTTCTGCAGGTATTAACTGGATTAATTACACTAAACCTGAGCATTAGAATATTTATTTGTAGACTAATTAAACAGTACTAATTCCTATATATATGCTTTTACTAGTATTATTATTTTTGCACTATTTGATACAATCAGGGCCAATAGGTTGATGTACAGGAAAAATGATATATAGATGAGAAGTACGTACGTGTCAAAATATACCATTTTAACCAAAAATCTAAGCTGATTAAACGCTAAAGATTAATTTTATACTTATGACGTGGCCTATGTTTTAATTTGATACCATGACAATGACAAAGGCCGGATCAACACAACCAAAAGTCTAAACTGATGGTTAAACTGTTAAAGTCACACAACTAATTTTAATTATATTTTCTGTCAATCATTTATTTTGAATAACTCTCAATCATTTGTTTTAAATAATTCTTTTTATTCTCTGTTTGTGTTTATGAAACCAGATGTATTCAAGAACTTTGAGAAAGATGGAGAGTTCTTCTGTTTTGTTGGACAATCAACTCAAGCAGTGACAGGGATGTTCAACCTTCTTAGGGCTTCTCAAATACAATTTCCTGGTGAAAATATACTTGAGGAAGCTAAAAATTTCTCTTCCAAATACTTGAAAGAAAAACGAGTTTCTAATCAACTCTTAGATAAATGGACTATAACCAAGGATCTACCTGGCGAGGTACGTATAAATATTTACAACTTGTATTAGATACGGTGGAATTAAGTTAATCCTTCTATAAATATATATATAAACCCCTAATTTACATGGAAAAAATCTCACCGTCAATTATAAAAGTTTAGGGTTCGAATATTACCAAATGAAGCTAAATAAAGGGGTATCTCTTTATCCCCCGCCCCTATTTCTACATCATGTCCATTAATAAGTTGAGTTGGGAATAGCCTATGATATTTATTGAATGTCATGTAATATGACATACCTAATTGGTTAACATTATGCTTTTAGTGTTTAAACTCGAGATCATAATTCTTTTACAAGAATAGGTTACTCTAGTATAAACCATCTTTGTTCATAAAAAAAAAGTATAAACCATCTTTTATTTAAAAGACATTATTGACACTTTAATATATGTGTGTTTTATAGGTGACATATGCATTAGATATTCCATGGTACGCAAGTCTACCTCGCGTTGAGACAAGGCTCTACATCGAACAGTATGGAGGAGAAAAAGATGTTTGGATAGGAAAGACTCTTTACAGGTAATTTAGCATAAAACTTATTATACATATTTATTTATTTTTCTTTTACCAAACAAGAAATATTAAAGCATATACAAGTACAGTATTCTTGTCAAATGAGATCATGACTTTTAAAACATTGTTGATAGATATGTAGGCATGAATGAGCACATTCAATCAACAATCATGTATACTTTACTATACATAAAGTAAAAGAAAATTAAAAAATATAATAAAAACAGAATATACAGATAGATAGCTGATATGACAAAATTACTTCCTCTGTCTAGAATTAATTACTATCATGTACGAAATTACTCCTTCTGTCTAGAATTAATTGCTACCATGTTTCCATACCTTTGTACATAAGGATATATGTTGCGCTTCGTATCCTCTAGCTAGCCAAATTTCCTATATTAGGGAACATAACATCTTTTCGAATATTTCATAGCTAAGTACGTTGTAAATGCGATTATTAATTCTAGATGAATACGTTCTTTTCCAAGGATGAAGACGACATGCATATGTACTTTTTGCTTGAATCATAGACTACCTTTGGCTTATTGTTGTTTGACTCAGCCACAAATGGTCTGCCATACAAATCTTGTCCAACTTCCCACTTTATTTGGACTTATTGTTGCTATTGCTTGTATCTATAATCTATTTTGTTGATTTTCAGGATGCCTAATGTGAGCAACAATGCATACCTTGAGCTTGCAAAATCGGACTTCAACAACACCCAAGCATTGCATAGGCTAGAATGGAACAACCTCCTAAGGTTATTTATTACTTCGTAAATAATTTAACAACTTTGAAATTTGTTATGTCTCCATCTTTAAAAGTTCTTACTGTTTAGACGGTGATTACTTGTCTCACTAAAAAGTCCATGAAAACATGCACAAAACTACAAAAGATTTTTAAAGACCGTAGGAGTATGTAATAAAATATATATTATGGGCTTTTATTTAATTTGCATTGATTATTCTATATAGGTGGCATTCAGAATATAATTTGAGAGAATCTGGTGTGAGCCAAAGAAGTCTATTAATGGCCTATTACTTAGCAGCAGCTACCATGTTTGAGCCTGAAAAGTCAAAAGACCGACTTGCATGGGCTAAGACTGCAGCCTTGATTGAAGCCATTGACTTTGAGTTTTCAAAGGAGAATGCTTCAGCTGAGGAAAGAAGAGAGTTTGTCAATGAGTTTCAACACTCTTACATTAGTCAAGGTTATGTAAGGCATAATGGAAGGTAAATATTGTATTTAAATTAAATAAAATCCCTCTTTCTAAATATATTTCCATAATTCATGAAAAAAATGACAATTATATTGTTATGTTATATCGATAATAATTAGTATTTTTTACTCCATTTGATTCTTTTTATTCTTTTCATTTTGACTTTATTTTTGTTTCACAAAGGGATTGTAAAAGAAAAGAAAATGTTTTAAATTTCCACTTCAATAAATCTCTTTTTCATAATTATTCATTGTTAATCGTATTATTGTAAGTGAAAACAATATTCTAGGGGAAAAGAAAACAAAATTTTGAAAATTTAGGGCTGAAATTGTTACCATTAACACTAAGATGAAACTTATCTAACAATATTATCATTGTTTATAACCGCCAACGACATGGATAATGTTTAAAGTAGTAGATGCATGTTTAAGCGTGAAATGACGACATACATGACATATAACTTGTCATACTTAAATGCAAATAGTCCATTTAGATTTTATTAGCATAAATTAATATAGAAGTTTTTTCTAACCCTATTTGTTTGCTCGTATTTCATTTTAGATCGTTTTTAAAGATTGCCCCATCTTATATTGTAACTAGTCCTCACTATTTACCCTCTTGCATACACTAATAAAATTAGTGAAAAGGCCTTAATAAAGAGAGTTTGTCTATTATCAGTATTATGCATGCATTCATGACCAATTGCATCACAAACCTTTCATTCGTAATCTTCACTTTCTTTGTCCTCGTGACATATTAATAGACTATTTCTCTTAGGATATTGCATTTACAAAAACACCTGAATTAAATATTTGTGTGACGACAATTTCTTGTTTGTCATCTACATAAATTGAAAAGGACAAAATTGCTTGTTTTTTATGAACTCCATGAAATTTAATTGGCCTAGATTGGAAAAAAAAATGGTTACTTGTTTTGATTGGTTTTTCTACTAATTTCTTAATAGGAAAATTCTAGTACAAGTTGGTACCAACAAAGGGCAAAACTTGATGGACCCACTTCTGAGTACCCTTAACCAGCTTTCATTGGATGCACTTATGAACCATGGAAGAGACATACGTAATCAACTTTACCAAGCTGTGAGTATATATAATTACATTACTATCATTGTATTATTATATTATCTCAATATTGTTGTATTTTAGTATGTTTTTTCTACACATACAATGGTTGTATGTGATGGACTACATCCAACCATTGTTGGCAGCGGGCATTTAATTGATTTACATTTTAGGGTCCACTTTCCTAATATTGTTTTCCCTATTTTTTTCCCTCTTATTTTTTTCCTCCATTTTGACGTTACATACATATAATGATATTATATGTGGGCTACCATATACAACCATTGTATGTGTACTATCTGAAATTCTGAACTTTCATCTCATATATTCATGCAAGCATACAATAGGCTAAACCTTAAATTATACCTTCCAATAATTCAAATTCCAATGAATGAATGTACATTATACTATCAATCAAGTTTATCTTCTTTACATTTGGCTCTTTCTTTTATTGCCCTTTGAGGGCGAGGTTTGGCTATCTGGTTTTTGACAAGGCATCAACATCCCTTTCGATATCAAAATATACACACGTACAATCATGAAATTGAATTGAATCGAGTCTCATTCATAGTAAAATGGGATTTAGGATGTATTATTGTATTTTTGTTTTCTTCCTTCTCAAGTTTTGAACTTCCACTTCATGCAAGCATACGATAAGCTACAACTTACATTATACCTTTCTACAATTCAAATTCCAATGTATGTTTTCTTTCCATTTGGCCCTCTTTTTTATTTGTCGTTAATTGGATATTTTACAAGGTATCAACTTCCTATTTCAATTTTAGGATGTACACAAATAAAATCATGAAATAATTGAATCGAGTCTCATTTATAGTAATTTGGGAACTCGAATTATTTTATTACTCTATAATTTTTGTGCTTGCATGTAGATTCTAACGTCATGTATTTTGTAAATTTATATGATTTTTATATAGTGGGAGAAATGGCTAAAGACATGGGAAGAGGAAGGCGATAGGTATAAAGGAGAGGCAGAACTAATGGTTGAAACAATAGAACTTAGTGCTGGCCGTTGGATTTCTCACAACAATATGGCTTCTGATCCACATATTCTTTCTCTATTAAGCATTACTAATCATTTATGCCATCACTTTGGCCATCTTCGAAGCCACCAAAACTATATTAATAATAAGGTATGAGCTTTTTTTTTATTTTCTATTTATTTTTCTTTTTACATTTTGTTTTCTTGTGTGTTTGTACATGGAATAATTGTATTAATATCATGTAATTTGTATTTTATATATTCTGATAAGTTAGGATCGGATTTATCTTTTATTCTTAAGAAAAACTGTCCTAACTTCTTGTGTACTTTTTCTTGTAAAAATAGTAGTAAATATTTTCACTTAATATTGAAACTTAGGTAGTGCATGAAGGTATTAATATTTGGTATCAATGGCAAATAAGCATGTGACAATATATGAATTGGGTTCCTATGTTATGAGTTTGGTTGAATTCATATATTCATAAAGACTAATATATGATACTTTGTGTAAATTTCCATAATCTAATAACTATCGACGTGACTATTAGTTATGGACAGAGTCCAATATTATATTTATACAATATGTGATTTTCTAAAAACTAAAAACCTCTCTCTCTTAGCAGGAGCGAGGTGCAACGAATGGTGGTGCAACAACGAATGGAACAAGTTGCAACTACATGAAGACTGGGGAAGTAGAGGAAGACCTTCAAAAATTGATGAAAATAATTCTATCAAGGTCCATCAATGGTGCAATTCCAAGTCTAAAGCAAGCCTGCCTAGCTCAAGTGAAGAGTTTCTTTTATGCTGCTCATTGCACTCAACAAGAGATCAATTTTCACATTAACAAAGTCCTATTTGAAAAGGTTGATTGATTTTTCTATCATTGGTGTAATTACTATAAACATTTATAGTTACTTTATTTGTCATATCATACACAAAAAGAAGAAAAGGGATCATTATTAGGTCATTGAATATGGTTTAATTAAGTCAACTATTGCAAGAGGCCAAGTTTTATACAAGTTAATTATTTCACCAAGTATTGAGATTTTTTTTTTTTGACATACGTCTGTCAGATTTATGTTATATTTATGAAGTAAGGGGAAAAAAACGTTAGGAAACCTTCTTCACAAGGATCAATTCTAATATAATTTAGACAGGTACTAAGCTAGCGGAACCTTTATTATGGCTTATTTAATAAAATAATACTAGTTCTAAATTACTTTCGACCGCTTTGCCAAAACTCCGTCCTAAGCCAAACTTTAATTATAGAGTTGAGAACGGCTCATGTCGTACAAACCCATGTGCCACGAGTCATGTTGTGTTGGACTCGTGTTGATCTTCCAATTACTAAATTTAGGACATGGTCCACCGCCATGCCCGCTATGGGCGCTATGTCGTTCTAGACTTGTGGTAGGCCTTTAAATTACTGGGTTGGGCCACTTTCATGTCTTGCTTGATCGATCCTCATCTGGCTCATTCCATGCTCCATGCCTGCTTCTACTACTTCAAGCATGTGATTAGCCATTGGCCAATTGCTACTCCAAACCGACCAAACCCAAAGGCATGTGAAAAGCCCAAAGTAACACAAGTAGTGGCCATGTCCAAATTGTCAACAAAAACCATTCATACACATTTTGAAGTGTATTGCAAGTTTTCTAATGATCTATGGATGAAGTATACGAAATCCATGGGTAAAGTAACGTGATGAACCTTTCCTTTAGGGCTCCCCCGTCCCCCCCTCCCCTTTCCCTTTTTAGTGATAGTTGTAACTATAAATAACATTATTTATACTAGGAAAAATTGACATTTAATACCAGTGAAAATATCTTGTGTTACATTTGCTACCCGTTTATTTTTTTTTTATTTTATTTTATTTATTTTGCTACCACCTAAAATCAAATAATTAAAATTTCACTACCACTTAACGGAATCCGTTAAGGTTCCATTAAGTTTATTCCAAAAAAAAATTAAAAATTAAAATTAAAAAAAAATAACCCAGCCACCCCTTCCCCCTCCACCCTGTCGGCGGTCGGTGCCCAAATCTTCGTTGCTACGTATCCCCCCTTTTCCCTTCCCCCACCCCTACGCAGCCTCGACCCCCACCCCGAACCAAAACCACCCCCTTTTCCCTTCCCCCACCGAAATCGACCCCCTCCCCTTCCCCCTACCCTTTTCGGCCTTCCCTAACACTAAACCACCACCCCAAAACCACCATAAGCGAAACCCTAAATTCGTTTTGGGTGGTTATAGGGTGGCGGTTTAGGGTTAGGGAAGGCCATCGATTTTGGTGGGGGAACGGGGCTAGGGTGGATTCCGGTGGGGGAAAGGGGGGGTGGTTTTGGTTTGAGGTAGGGATCGGGACTGCGTGGTGGAAAGAGAGGGGGGTGGGTTCGCGCCAGCGCCGGCAGGGGGGATGGGGTGGCAGTGAGGGTGGGGGAGGGGTGGCAGTGAGATGGAGGGGTGGTTGCAAGGTGGTTAAAACGGTGGTTGAACCCAACTAACGGAAATAGTAACGGTGTAAGTCAGTTGGTAATAAAATAAATATTTTAGAGATTTGGGTGGTAGCAAAATAAAATAAAAAATTAAACAGGTCGCAAATGTAACACAAGGTACTTTCGCCGGTAGCAAATGTATGTCAATTTATACTAGTAGGTATTATAAACTGACCCAATTTGACTATATCCGACCAAATTTAAAAATGACCTGAGATAACTTTTCAACTTGGATGGACACTGTGATTTAGCATTGCTTAAATCCAAATTAATTAAACCAAACCGATTAAATGAGATTTTATCCAACCCATTAACCCAAATTGGCACCTAGATTGACTATACCAAGGCTATTAAGAGCCTTTCCACTGGTAAGCTACATTTAATATTTTGTATGTTTAAGTTACAATAGTTTTTAGCAACAAAGTATTCCAATTACTAATAAAGTGTTGGCTCACTTTGTAAGGTTCTTTCTTCATATTCTAGAGGTATGGGGTTGGAATCCTAAAATCGAGAGTACTTAAGGAGAGGAATTTTCTTACCCTCCCCTATAATTTCAAGTGCTTGGCTTGCAAATAATGGACCAAAAAAACCATAAGGGTTGAGGTCTGTTCAAGGTCCTCCTTGCCGTTAAAAAAATAAATAAAAAAAAAGTATTTTAATAATAAGCTACTAACATTTTATAGTTTGCAAAAAATAAAATAAAAATAAATGATTGTACATTTGTTCACATGTTAAAATATGAGTGGAATTTATTGTCCCTTTCTCAACTAAATTTTTATTTCGATTTACTGAAAGTAACTTAACTGAACTGAACTAAACTTAACTGAACTGAATATAGAATTAAAAGGAATTGTTTATGAGAAGGTAATTAGGAATTGCACTGAATTAAACTGATTACAGCTGGACTGAACTGAACTTGAATTCAGATGAAAAGAACAGGCCTAAAACATGTAGCTTGTTAGCTTGTATATTGTTCAATATTTTGTTGTCAACATGTAGCTAGAAATTGTATACATTTTATATATTACAAGCAAGTCCTTACAATTGCACTGAATTAAACTGATTACAGCTGGACTGAACTGAACTTGAATTAAGATGGAAAGAACAGGCCTAAAACATGTAGCTTGTTAGCTTGTAAATTGTTCAATATTTTGTTGTCAACATGTAGCTAGAAATTGTGTACATTTTATATATTACAAGCAAGTCCTTACAATTAAATAATTGGAAATTTGGAGATGCTTTGTTATGAATGTTTTTATGTCCTCTTTACTACAAATATTAAGAACTAATACTTCTTTTACTATAATTTACATCTTTCACGTAGTATAAATTTTATTATCTGATCTTTTGATATTATACACACATCCATCAAATATATGAATTGTAAGAGAAATTAATATTTATCGAAAGTTTATATTGCTGGATAATATGCAAATAAGTTTTGCTTATTCTATAAATATTTTTTTTTTATTTATTTTTTTTATTTATTTTTTTTTGGTAAGATATAGCAAAAAAAAAAAAAAAAGTACGTAATTATAATAGTACTCATAAGTAAAAAAAATTATAATAGTACTCATAAGTAATACCAACATGTTTTGGTATGTGGCTACATGATGTGATCAAATTTTATGTTATAATTATAAATCATAAGAAAATGTGAAATTTCACTCACAAACTAAACATAAAATTAAATAATTAATAAGTAAAAAAAATAAAAAATAAATAACCCCCTTTGTTAATTCCAAGGGGAGGGGCAAATTAATTTGAAATTATCAAATTTACATGAAACCACACTTTTTGATGTTATAGAGTATGATAAGATCACATCATTCATAGAATTGACAGTTAATTTTAAACAATACACAAATTACATCATGAGAAATGTTTAAAACTAAACACTTGAGTAAGACATTCTTTCATGAACAAATAAGTTATCTTGCTCCTCCTCATGAGAAACACAAAGCTTATTAACAAAACACTTAACTTCATCCTTTTCTTTTTCATCCATTTTTCCTCCTTCAACCCATTTCTTTACCTTACGAATAAATCGACGCCTCCTTGATGGATGACCATTATTAGTACTCAAACAAAGCTCATGATCATTATGAACCGAAAGTGCTTTGTTATTGCAACCATAGTTCTCATCAATTTCACTATGGTGATCTTCCAATGACTCGATTTCCTCGGCTTGATTCCCATTTTCTCCTTTGTTTAGCTCATGGCACCTTAATAGTTCATTCCTTAAGCATGCATTGGTCCATTTTAGGTATGTTAATTCACTTACCTCGGCTTCTCGGTCTTTTTGGAGTTGTTCTATCTCTTGTAAGACCCTTTCATGCTCCTCCTTTGGTACACCTTCTATCTCAACATTCTACAAGTTCAAAGTAAGGTCAAGAATACAAAATCAAGTGACTTGTGGGAAAATTTTCAATTATAAGTCTTTGAAGAAAACATGATGACATATTGTCATGATCATTTTATTAATTAGTAGGAAAGTTACAAGAAATAGCAAATACATAAAAATTTGCCTAAGGTTTATTCTTGTGCTTTCGCTCACTTTGGAGACTTTGGTAATTTACGTCGTGTTTTTTGGCGGTGTGATAAAATTTCTAAATAATAAGTTCTATTGAATTATGATATTTTCAAATATGCACATAGCTTAGGTTATCTAACGTAAAAAAATTCTTAATATCAACTAAAACTGATGACTTGTTGATTACCTTTATCCCATAAAACATCACATTATTGCATATATAGTTTTAAGAACATCCAATTATGATAATATAATCCTTCATACTACGTCAAGATTCCACTAACAAAATGTTATTTAAAATTAATGTTAAACTCAAGAACATTTGGAGAAAATGACTTAGCCTTTCGCATTGATATTCATCACATATATATACACGATACAAAACAAAACCTTACTTGCCTAAGACTCCTAATAAGATAAATTTGACAAATATACAATATTAACATATATAAACCAAACCGACTCTAATAATCAATGAGTAACAAGTCAATATATTTTTTCATTTTCATTAACTTTCTGAGCACCAATAATCAAACTAAATTGGTCACGTTAACAATGTATGTAATTTGTACATATTTATAATGCAACAGCTAGACTCGAACGACTATATTTATTACATAATTGACTAACCTAGACTTTACGGATATGGCATTACTTTCTTTAGCACAAAGTTTCTTATTTCTACATGCAGCTTTAGAATTTTTAAATCAACCAAAGGAGGTGTAAGTTTAACTTTACATTAAAGTGTGACAATTCAGGATGCTAAATGCCTATTTCCTTTATAATGACTTGCAAAAGCAAGATATTAAGAAAAGAACTAAGATTCAATGTTTTAGAATATTGTTTTTCTGTCTACACTTTACATTAATTACATATATAACTATCTAAGGAGTATATTATTAATTTGTTTATCTTAAAGTTGGATTATGTTCTCAAAGCTAGATTATATTCTGATGTTTCAAATAATGTACTATATAATTGCTATTAATATGCTAAACCAAAATGGTTTCATTAAATCATTATAGAGATTATATAGTATAGAATTCGAAAATGTTTAGTTGATTGATCGATGATTACAAAGGTTATGCTCACTAATAAGAGATAGCTAGATGGAGAAGCTTACAATTCATTAATATGTTGTACTTTGTACCCCATAATTAATATCCCAATTAAAATAACCGAAAGCGTAGTCGTATTCATTTGATTGTATGCTAAGATAAACTAAGAAATTATCAAATTTTATGTCATGAATCACAATTATAATTCGGCATAGGTAAGATAAAATTGTCACAATTTAAATAGTTAAGACATAAGATCATTAAAAAAAACATGTTTATGTGTTTGTTGTTGACTAATTATGATGTAATCCCAAATCTATTTTTAAAAAAGAAAAAATAAAAAAATAATTTTTAATGAAATGTATGGAAGAAAGAGCATACCTTTGGATTTGATGAACATAAATTTTCATCAATTTCAAGCTGATTATTGGAGACCTCAATTTTCTCTCTTTGTAAATGATCAACAACCTCTTTCATTTGATTAATTTCATCCTCTAATTCTTGAATAAGATCATCCTTTTTTTGAATCTCTTCTTGATTGTTTAACACCTCTTCTTCCCTTGCTTGAATCCTCATCTTCAATTCCCTTATAATCTTCAATCTTTGTCTTGCTCTTTTGCACAACTTCCTTGCTTTCATCTCAAGCAACCCATTTTCCTTCTTAGATTCTTCAAGTTGTTGCACAATTTTAATGTACTCTAAAATAAAACTCCCAATCCTTTGGCTCTCTTCTTGTACAAATGACATCTCTTTTAGCAAGAACTCGGCCCGAGCTTTTTCCAACATCATCTTAGACTTCATCTCCATCAACATAAATTCTTTCTCCTTCATACCTCGATATCGAACAAATTGCCTCATCAAATCCCTTTCCCTCCTTTGAAGATTTTCGATATGAATTCCAAGCTCTAGTAACTTGTCCTCTAAGTTACTACTACTATTAACACCTTGACCATGCAAACTTGAATCATCTTCATTATATTGATCATCATATGTTGGATTAAGGCTATCATAACGATAAGTTTCTTCATCCGATGGAGATGGTATCAAATTACTAGATTGTTTCGACATGATCCTTGCACAAACATAAGCTGCAATAGAAAGAGCAGCTGGGATTCCAGCTTTTACTATCAAAGGGCTTATCATCTTTGCTCTTGAATCAGAGCTAGACATTTTAGGAAACTTGATTGAAAGCTAATTTAGAGAATATTTTGTACAATATTGTGTGAATAAAACATAGGTTTAATTTGTTTGATGATAATGTGTGTATATATATATGCATAGGGTTATATAAAATATGAAGTATACTATTCTTTGCCTTTACTTGGTGTATTTCTTGGGATTTTCGTTTCTTTACAAGGAATTTTCAGGGAAAATTAGCTTTTTGATTACTCCTTTAATATGTATCTTTCTTACTTTAATTCATATCACTGTTTCATTATTTGATTCTTTTCATTATGATGGAGAATATGATTCCTTTTGTTAAAACAATTTTTTCCTATTCACACCATTTTTTGTCCGTGTGAAGATATAGTTTTTAATTAGCATTTCTTTCTTATGTTTAAGAATTGAATATTGCAATTAACATATGTTACACATATATATATCTATGAATCTATGATTTGAGTAGTACAGGAGAATCAATACAAAACGAGTATTGATTTAAAGCCAAGGGGCCGAGTAATTTTTAGATATGGCAAAGTTGATCCAACGTGACCTCATCTTAATATTAGATCGGACCCAACATTTCAACCTATATCTATATAATTGGGCCATTTATACTAAAAGGTTAACATGTAGCACACAAGCCCAAAAGTTATATGACCCAAATACAAATATTTTCTTACATAATTCATTGAATTTTTTTTTTTTTTTCAAAACCTACATAATTCATTGATAGTTAAGTTGCAATAGATCTTGGCACTACCCTCACAATTGTTACCTTGTAATCATTGTCTGATTAGTTTTGTACCATGGATGGATCTTAGAGCATCCAGGAATTAATGGAATATGGCTCGAGATTAATTAAATTGATTGTCAATGGCTCGAGATTGACTCGAAGGATACTTTAAATAACATGAAAAGGACTTTTGTGAAGGGCATAGGCTTATACTATACTTCGTATGTGATAAGTATTAGAAATGATATTAATCAATGTTGAAAACCCGGGTTCAAAAGGAGTTTATATAAAAGAGGGAACACAAAATTAGGTTAACGCTTTGTCACCAGCTACCAGCTAGTATCGTGGTGAACTAGGAAGTAGAATGCGAGGAAGTCCAAACGGAGGGTTGCGAGACACGAATCTAGTGTCTCAGGGTAGTTTAGGATATTTACTACATTAAAGTACCTCTATAAAACACTAAAGTACTGCTAGAGGTCACAGTGGTATATTTTTAACGTCTAGTGGTACATTATCATTATCCATCCAGTAGTAAACGATTAATTTAGACCTAAGAATTACAAAAATCTAAGTTTGTTTTTAAAAGCCTTAAACTCTCAATTTTATTATTACGAATCTCAATAGTACAACATTATTGTCCAGTGATATAAAATAAGTACCCAGTGGAATATTTTATATAGACTGGTTGTTTCCAAAGCAAGTTTAATATCTACTTTGTTTATCTCTAAAAATTCATGTATTAGTCTTAAGTGTTGCGTCGATTTGGTATTAGAGCGAGCCATACGATTAAAAGTTAAACTAAGTAATTAATTAAATAATTAAATAAAACTGGAGAATACTAGGCCCTCTACTGAGTGTAAGAAAACTGATTTCAAGCATTATTATCATATTCTTGAAAATACTATTAATTTTAGCCCAGTCCTTAATTATATAGTAGATCAAATTGGTGAATTAAGATCGAAAGTTGATAACATACATGCTCGTTGTATTAATATCGAAAATAAGATATCAATAACCACAACCGATATTAATAAAAAAAAAGTAAGCGATCTAAAAGAACGGGCTAAACAAGTTCAACTTGCTTTTACAAACGAAGTTAGGCATCTATTTGGTAAGGAAGTATCACCTAATAAAGAGGAAATTGTCCCGTATAAATATAAGTATCCTTTTCAAAATTTAGATAAAATTTAAAAGTTTATTGTATCACTACCTAAAAGACCTACTAGTAACTAAGAAAAGAATAAAGAAACTAAAGATGAGCCCTCATCTTCAGGAGACAACACTTAACGAACTACAAGCCGTATTCGATAAAGAAGAAGACCCTAATAAACTTAACGAAATCACGTACTTAAAATTCTGAAAAAGGGACTGCTTCTGATAATGAAATAGAGAAAAATAATTATGTTACTTTAGAGGAAGATTTATATCAACAGATGGGATTAATGAAGTTAAATGAACTAGACTTTCTACCTATAGAAGTTATTCGACAAAAGATTGAAAATAAACTAGGTAAAAGAGTAATGGATAATAATGATATTGGAGAAGAAATTATTAATGAAAATAATGTTATCCAAAGATCTAGGTACCAAGGAGAAGGAAGTTGCACACGACCAAGATACATACCAGAGAAGACTACCTGGTTTAGTGTCAAGGTTATGTCTAATCATATACCTAAAAAAGAAGAAGTAGTGACTCTTGAACCTATAAGTCAAACTGGTAATAAGCTTAAATTAGATGGTGTAAGAGATAGACAAGATATTTTAGATCAGTGGAAAAAGAGTATGAGTAGTGTACTTAACCTAAATACTCAATGGACTTATGAAAAATTCTTAAATTATATAGTTTATAGTTTCTATGGCTGTGTAGAAGATTGGTATGATGGTATAGAGGAAGAAGTCAAAACTACGTTAAGAGCTAATGAATCTCCTACTAGAATGTTTAGACATCTATGTCAATACATTGAGTTGGAGTTTATTGGTCCTAAAACTGATCCTAATGAGAAAAGAATGGAATATCAAAGAAAGTTAAGTAATTTTTCCATCTGTAGTATGAAATATGTCGAGAACTATATTTAATTTGAAACATATTATTATAAAATCGGTGAAAAATGAAACAAATCTTGGAATGTTCAGTGATAAATTACCAAGTCCTCTTACTGAAAAAATTAGTGAAAAATATTAAGAATGGAGAGAGAAATTCTTAGATAGGGACGTCCTAGGTAATAGAATTTCTATCCTATGAAAGTGGATTGAAAAGAAATGTAGAGAGGTTGAAAGGACTCAACAAATGAAGAGACAATTTCTCACTTGTTGGGATTTCCTAAATAACTATGGATGTGAAAGAAAAAACTATAATAAGAGAAGAAATTATAAGAAAAATAAAATTGACAGATCAAGAGGATAAACCTATAAGAAAAGATACTATAAACATAAATATAGAAAACCAAGTAGGTTTTTCAGAAAGGAAACATATTGTCCTGAGAAAAAAAAAATGCAAATGTTGGTCTTATGGAGAACTAGGACATTATGCTAATAAATGTAAGAAAGCTAATCATAAATTAATGAAAGTCTTAGGTAGTTGGGACTACATAGAAATAGAGTCGGTCCCCATTTATATCCTCTATAAACGAATTTTGTTTATATAGTGGCATTGTTGCAATTATATGGAAGTTTGGCTGTACTATATTCATTTTTAATTGTTATGTTGAGTTGGACAATTAGTGTCATGATGAAATAGTCTTGACGGTGGAATAACGTCCGTTACACTGTCTCTTAACCCTTACACTGTCTCTTAGGAGAGAGAAAGCTCACTGAAAAGCTAGAGAGAGAGAGAAAGTCTGTGGAAGAAGAAGATGCTGTTTGTAGATCTGCTAATTTGTGTAAATTGATGAAGATTTGGTGTCGGCGTCTTAACCCTTCCGGCTCTCTCCATCGGTCAGTTTCGATTTGTTCTTTTTCTTTTTGGATTTGTTCTTTAATTTTGGAATTAAGTTTCGGAAAAATGGATGTGAAAAGCTGTGTTTAATTTGTTGATTATTAGATCTAATGCTTAATTTGGGGATGATTGAAATTATGGTAGGCTATTGGTATTGTGTTGTTTGTTTTGTTATGATTTTGTGGAAAACGGTGAATAATATGTTTTCCTCTGGTTTGTTGTATTAATGTCGATACCGTTGATGGTCCTTCTTTTGGGATTGTTATTATGGAAATGGTGTGGGTATTAATACTATATGAAATTGGGAGTGGTTGTATATTATTAGTTTGTAATTGTTTGTTGTATGCCTTTTTCCTTTGTAGATAATTATATTTTTGGTTGGAATGGAAGCTGAATTTGTTGACCCCATGGAGCAAGCGACAGTTGTGCTTGATCACAGTTCAGTCCTTGACAGTCCTTATACTTGTGGTATTGAAAATGCTTCTGGTTGTGTGGTTGTTCATGAAAGCCCTGAGATCGAATGTAGTAATCCTGATCTTCCATCCCTGAATTGTCTGACACCTTATGTTCATCCATCCCCCTCCACCGTACCTAATCTAATTTCGCTTAATTCTCCATTAAAAACTGTTGAGACTGTTGAGACGATTGTTTCCACGAACAAGATTAGTGTGTACACCACTGTTGAAGCACCTAGGGTTGGGATGGTTTTTAAACACTGGCAGGATGTGGAGGCATACTATAAGGAGTATGGTGAACAACATGGCTTTGGTGTTAGTAGAGTGTCGTCTTCATTTTCTAAGGTCACTGGTGAGAGGAGGGGTGCTACTTGGCGATGTGAATTTTGGGGACCACCTGATATGAGGGCTCAGAGGGAGGCAAAAAAAAGGTCTAAGGCCATGGAAGCTTGTGGGTCTGGGGATGTCTTAAATGGAGTTATAGGAGAGGATGAACTGAGCCGTGGCAAGAGAACGTCGAAGAAATGTGAATGCAATGCCTGCATATATGGTAGTGTGAATGGTGATGGTGAGTGGGAACTGAGAACAGTTGTTCTGGAGCATACGCATGACCTATGCCCTGCCATGTCTACGTTGGTGAAGGAGTATTGAATGAAGAATTTTACATCAAATGCGCGCAAGAAATTAATGAACTATTATGAGGAAGGGCTTCCAGTCACTCGGATACATGGTTGTATGGGTTATGAGATGGGTCCTGAGAACATGCCAACTGTTAAAGACCTTCATCACGAGGTTTCTAAGGTGCGTCGACTGAAAATGGAGGGTGGGGATGCTGCAGCTATGATGGCCTATTTTGATCGGATGCAAGCTGATAATCAAAACTTTTTCCATTCACATCGCCTTGATGAAGATGGCCGATTGAAGGATGTGGTATGGGTTGATGCTCGTAGCCGAGTGGCTTATGAGGAGTTTGGGGATGTGGTATGTTTTGATGCTACATACCTTACAAACGAGTATGAACTTCCGTTTGCCAACTTCGTTGGCGTTAATCATCATGGGAAATCTCTCCTGTTGGGATGTGCATTTGTATCTCATTAGACTTCAGAGACCTACTCTTGGGTGTTTCAGCAGTGGCTGTCTTGTATGGGTAACAAACCTCCTGGTGCCATACTGACAGATCAAGCTGCTGCTATGAGGAAACCAATATCTGAAATAATGCCATCGACTCGACACAGGTGGTGTATCTGGCATATTATCCGCAAATTTTCAGAGAAGCTAGGGAAATGTGACAAGTCAGTCTTTTTTTTATTGAATAGTATTCTTATGTGACAATATGTTAATTGGATATGTGACAAGTAAGGACTTATTTGAGTTTCCGTATTCTGGCTATAATGCTGTATATTGCAGGACCGTGTTTTCTGATATGAACTGTTTCTGAATTTATACTGCTGCAAACTATTTATTTCTTCATCTGGCATGAGTTTTATGTTACATTATCTGTTGTTTTGTTTAGCATGTATTCCGCACGTGTTTGATGTAAATAAGTTTAAGATATTACATGTTTTTTAAAAGTGTGTGTTCCATATATTACATGTACTGACTGTCAGATACTCTATGAGATTCAGTATGTACTTGTCAGAATATTGATGCACCAATCTATCTTCCATGTAAACCATGTGTTTTCATTTTGTGAGTGTTGTGCAGATATGCTGATTTTAAAAGCCCTTTGAAAACTCTTATATATGAGAGTTTTACCGTTGAGGAATTTGAGAGTCAGTGGCATTCATTAATCAAGCAATTCAAATTGGAGGATAATGACTGGCTTTGTGATCTTTTTGAGAAGAGACACATGTGGATACCGGCCTTTATGAAGGAGCACTTCTGGGCTGGAATGAAAACTACTCAGAGAGTTGAAAGCATCAACAGTTTTTTTGATGGGTTTTTAAATCGGCACACAAAGCTTCATGAATTTCCTGAGAAGTACACACGGGCTATGGCGAAGCGGTGAAGTCTGAATTGGCTGCTGATGCTAGATGTGGTTAATACATTAGGAGACTAGTTAGTGGGTTTAAACTTGAAAGATTCTTCCAGAAAATCTACACAGACACGAAGTTCCAAGAGGTTCAGAAAGAGTGTGCACGTATGATGTATGTTTATTCGAAGGGGGAGCGTATTGTAGAAGAAAATGTGACTGAGTATTTACTTGAGGATAGGGTATGGATAATTCCCGAAGGCAAGAGGCAGGAGGTGATAACTGATAGGCGTCGCCTTCTGCGTGTTTTATTTAATAGTGTGACGAAGGAGGTTTCCTGTGAATGTAGGAAGTTCGAGACCTTTGGTATTTTGTGCAAGCATGGCATTGGAGTCCTTGATCAAAACCTGGTGTTTTATATTCCAAGCAAGTATGTCCTTGATCGGTGGAGGAAAGACGTTCCAAGGAAGCATACAAGGGTCAAAGTAGCTTACCATGACCCTTCTGAAAGAGATCAAGTGAGACAGTATTACAAACTCATGCACGAGTTTGAACCAATTTGTGAAGTAGCGTCCTCCATAAATGATCCTGAAACTGTAGCTATGGTCATTTCATGCCTTCAACAGCTAAGTGTTAATGTGAAAAAAAGCAGGCAAGTTTTCCTTGAAAAGCAGGCCAAACTCCCAACCCTGCCAACAAGTGGTGTGCCACCTTCAGAAAAAGGGTCTAATCAGGTCTTGAAATGCAATGGTGGTGAGGCACCGTCATCTGTAGTGAAGGCATCATCAATCGCACCACCTGTGAAGGACCCAATTCCACGGAAGAAGCCTCGTGGTAGGCCAAAGGTAACCCACTACAAGAGCCTAGCAGAGACAGGTTACAAAACCCAGCAAAAGAAGCCTACACAAACCAAACCAACCCAGCAAAAGACTAGTCAAACACAGGTATGACTAATTCTGGCAGTTGGTTATTTTGTTTCTGTTTTTATTTGATGTGATGATATTCTCACGGGAGATTGATGTGATGTGGTAGTCGAAACGTCGACGCTCTCAACGTCTTATGGAGTTGGACGAAGCTAACGACAAAGAAATGGTTGAAGATTTTGATGCGGATATTGATAATTGCTTTTATGGCTCTGATCACTCTATGGAGTTCTGATGAAATGAAGCTTATCTGTATGGGCAGCTGATCAGGTTATGGAGTTCTGATGAATTGAACCTTGTCATTATGCCCACCTGTATTATGGCTAAGTTGTACGAGTTATAAGTCTCATTTTGGTTTAGCTTCAACACTGTCATCTTAGCCTGCATGTAGCCTTTTGAATCTGGTTCATGGTTGTAACAACTTTTACTTAGCTTTCATTGCTGTCATCGTAGCCTAAATGTAACCTTTGTATGTTGACCGGTATCTCCCTTCTCCCTTTATTTGCATTCTCTGGCCGTATCTTTTAGTAATTTTTGTAATGTTTTAAATTTCGTAATTTTTTGTTAAGTTAGTTATTGCGGCCAAAAACAAGTTGATAATTTGATTGAATTATTGGGCCTTTTTTGTCACAAAAATGGCCTTTTTTGTCAAAAAAAATGGGCTTGTTATTTTACCAGTGTAATGTGGAATAGTTAATGTATCAGTATTATTTTTTCAAATAGTGTTTTTGTGCTAAGTACATAAATGTTTTTGTTCAATAAATATAAAATCTACACAAAGGATCTGATTTCCAATTTCACATTGATAGATACCGGGCTATATTACATACTGTGGGCTTATATTACATACTACTGGGCTAGATATACATTACCATCAACAATTGGACCGTCATCACAAAAGGCTTCACAAAAGGGCCCAACAACTACTAAACCCGAACCAACCAAACTACTAAATGCCCGCCCCAACCAAAAGGATCCAAAAATACTAAGCCCAAGCAAAAGGGTTCACAAATACTACAGCCCACCAAGTTAAAGGATCCAGAAATACTAAAGCCCAACCAAAAGGATTCACAAATACTAAAACTCAAGCAAAAGACAACTACAAGCCCAGGAAGCTACACTGGACTCCGACAACCGTCCTCCACCGGAACCACTTAAATTCTACGATTAGGGAGTACATACACCTTTTTGATGCGAGTGTTTGTGTTGATCACTCCAGGCTATCAAAATAAATAAACAAACAAAACATTACAATATATCAAAATAAATTAACCAAGAGAACAACATTACTATAGGAATACATTACCAGTCCCCGGACATAAATCACATCTCCAGATTGAATTCCGATTTCCCCAGCAATAGCCCAAGACGCGATGATGGATCCACGAAAATGGAGCCTTATCTTGAATGACTGAACATCAATCCTCGAAGCATAATCTTCATAGATGGACTCAAAGTTTTCATCACTCCTTATGTCATAAAGAATTCCGACATCTCCAGGGCTACGACCTCTCACAATGATAGTGAACACAACAACATCAGCTGGGAATGGACGGTTAACCCCATTCAAGTCAACATCATCTGGGTTAAACTCATCCTGCTCCTCGTTCTGAATCATAACGTTGTCGACAACCACAGGCGAAGCTGAAGTAGACCCCCTCTCGTACTTTGGGGGTGTATGAGTGTTGGCCATGTTTGTGAGCAGGGATGGCCTAACTTTCATCTATTCTTTCCTTGTCTTAGGCCCTGAAGCAAGTGTCTTAGTAGCATTTTTCGTCAGAACTTTGGAAACCAAAGTCCGACGACGGCGCTTGTACGTCTGAGCAACTTTCATCGGCCTCTTGCCTTTAGAGGAACTCACAAGGATGAAGTTTTGGGTTGAGGCCATGGGGCTTAGGTTTTGTGTTTTGTATTTGAGGTTCGTGGTGGGATTGTGGTTTTATAGTGTTGCTACGGACGTGTGTACTAACCTCGCCAATTGAATTTGAACACGTATAAAGTTATGATGAAAAATGGGGCAATTTAACCCAAACAAAATTAGCAATTTACTTCAATAATATTTCGGTGCATTGATAATATAACAAATTTTAATCAGAACCATTGTAAGAGAAACTGAGAGGCTTATTGAATTTATAAATGCCCTTAAATTAACTGACCCTTAATTAATCCTCAAACTATTACATATTTTGTATGTTTTGGAATTTATAAAAAAATAAAATTCAGCCGTTTAACTTCTAAAAAAAACTATTACATAGTTCAGATGTTTCTTAATTAACTTCTTTATTGTCACTTACGTTTAATTTAGTAGTTACCAACAATCAAGTATTTTTAGTTTCTACTTATTTCATTATAAATTAGTGAAATTAGTTACATGTATTAGTATTTCACTTCACTTAATAAATAATTCATGCCGAAAGGAACAAATATTATAGTAAATGGGGAGAATACTTTACTATTTCCATATAATTTGCTAAAATATTTACCAAGTAATGATAATAATTAAATAATATTTACAAGCTGAAAAAATAATAATAATATAATAATGTAACCAATGAGGATACGTAATTTACAGAAATTAAAAAATAGTAATAGTAGCCTTTTATTAACATGAAATATTTATTAAGTGAAGTGAATACTAATATATGTCACTTTTACCGAGGGGGTTAAAGTTAACTTAATACTACAACTGAAACAAATCTAGTAAAACTACACCCTATATTGAAACAAATCAACTATTGATTAGACAACACATACTAACCAAGTCTAATACTAGTAGCCCTTTACTGAAGCCTACAACTACCCCTATATAAAATCAAGCAAATTGGTAATGAGATCTGGTCGAAATTTTTCAGTATCATGTGGTATCCCAATTTTCCCACCCAAAACTTAGGTAAAAGTGATTCAAGTTTTAATATATAAAATTGTAAGAGAGGCATAAACATTAAAAAGCGCAAAGGAAGATCAACCTTGACTCTATAAATGTAATATTAGTCTAATTACATTGAAACACTTGTAGTAAGTACTCACTTCTAGCGTTCGTGCACCATTGTGTTTGTCGGTTCTAAAGGACAACGATCATTAATCGTTTTGGATTACCAGACGAAACACTTAAGTTCTCTAGTTAAAAAAAACTTTGAGATACTCCAATATTAAAGTGTTGTTTATGGGGGACACTCCAATATTAAACTGTTGTTTATGGGTGAAATCAAACTTCACCATTTTTCGATAATAGTTGTGTAATTCTGCTAGTTTTATGATGGTAATAGGTTTGTTTTTTTGCCGATTAGCATATAACATTAACGCACGAAATTTAAAATCCGTTTTTCGTTTAAGTGTAAGCAATTCCAACAATTTCAGCAATATCATCATGTATATTTAAATTCCAAATAAACCAATTACACTCCAACGCATTACAAGAGTAACTAGTTCAAACAGCATACAAATAAAATATGGTTTTAAGTCATACAAACCACTACCACTTGCAACTAATTGACTAACACATTACGAATTTAGACTTAAGTACATGAGGACAAACACAAACTAAGTTGTTAATTTATTTTAAACAACATTTGTTCTACCCATAACGCAGTCATCACCCATGTCCTTCTCATCACGCGTCTCCATTATATAGGGTGACCCTGTGTAAGTTTAACTAAGCAACCCTTTAAATTAATTTAATGAAAATCCAATTACCTTAACATTAACATCAAGTAACATTTGGCTGCTTGCACATTGTTGGCGTTGTGAACATCTAACATCCCCGGCCATCCATAGCATGGCAGCTTCCCCCTTTACGAACGGAGATGAGAATGGAAAAACCGGTAATTTCCAGGCAGTACATGAACTATTTCACTGAGATTGCTTACAGTGTTTCTAATTTCAAACAGAATTACAATATGGGGATTGCAAACCCGGTAGATGGTATTGAAATTATCAATAAATGACAGGCGTCCTACACCACGGACATTCCAGCAAACAAGGGAGCTATTTGGTGGGATAAATTCGAACTGAGGGTAATTTGAGACGTTGTAGCTTTGAATGACTGCAGTGTGGTGTTTTGGTTCATCGTTGTTGAATTGAGTCAGGACCATGATTTTTAGGATGTAGCGCAATCAAGTGGGCAACAAAACATACTGAAGGCCGTCTGTAAAGGGACCCATCTCAGTACGAACCTCACCTGTTTGCATCCTATGTGGGGGTGAGTATAAATCAAGGACGGGTTCCGGGTCAAGTAAATGGAGAAGATAGTTTGGAAGGATAGGTTCCTAAGGATCTTCACTTGGTGTATCGCAGTGGTAGTTAAGGAGCACATCAAACTCTTCAGAAAGAGACAAGAAATCGAAGACGCTGGGGAAATGGCCAGGTCTCATGACACCACGACCACTGCTATGTGCCATTCGCAAAGAAACACCTGGTTCGAACCTCTGTTCGGGGTCCATGAGGATCCGCCATAGTTCTATCATTTGATTGCCAGTAGTATGAGTATTCATTGGTGTTCATTTCTGGACGAATATTTGGAGTTGCTTGTGGGGGTTTGTAAAATAAAAATTTAGGAGTGCCATCACGATGTTCGCTATAGACAGCCATGGTTGGATATGGGAAGACGAAGTTTGAATATTACAATGCAAGTTAAGAGACTCTTATATTGGAAGATAACTGTGTCGCGTATGTGTTCTGGGTTGTATTGAAAAGTATTTGTTATGTCACATGGTTGTTTCTTTTAAATTAACTGAAAGTTTCAATAACTTGGAAATATTTTAATTTTAAACTTGTGCACTTGATTAATTGATGTGTCAACCAGTGAAGCAAAAGATTGAACAAGAACAGATTTCAAAATAAAAATAAAAATAAAATTAGTAAAAAAAAACAAGTACAACTTTGGTAATCGTGTGCGGTTTCAATGTGTTTACCCACCTGTTTCGTCTGTTCCTTCAAAAAGCAGTTGCAGACAAGACTACACCTGTGGCACTTGTTGTAGTACTATAGTAACCATAAAACAAGGAAGGGACTAAGGAGTGATCTAACAATACTTACAAACCAACTAATATAGTTTTTGTTGAAAGTTTGACTGTGAAATCCAATTATGACGTAAACTTTCCAACTGTATGAGGCCATCCTAAAATTGAAATTAAAATGGTAATATATAAATCCGAAATTTGTAATTATATACATACGAAAGTAGAAAAAATTTTACATCCCAAAATGCAAATATGTATACGTTCAAAATTAGAGTTAGGCCGAGTTCGGTTAAGTTGAGTTCGGTTAAGTTGTGAGTTCGGTTAAGTTCAGTCATCCAGTTCGGTTAAGTTGTGAGTACGGTTAAGTTCAGTGATCCAGTTCGGTTAAGTTGTCATTTCGGTTAAGTCGAGTGATCCAGTTCGGTTAAGTAGTGAGTTGGTTAAATAAAGTTATGAGTTTGGTTAAGTTTAGTGATCCAATTCGGTAAAGTTATGAGTTCGGTTAAGTTTGGTGATCCAGTATGGTTAAGTTCGGTTAAGTTTAGTGAGCCAGTTCGGTTAAGTTGTCAGTTCAGTTAAGTCGAGTGATCTAGTACGGATAAGTAGTGAGTTTGGTTAAAATAAAGTTGTGAGTTCGGTTAAGTTCAATGAT